ACACACACACACAGACATCATTATATAATTATTTTATATATAAACTTTTTTATCTTCACTCAGCAACTAGGTATATATTAATTATAAAAAAATACAGTTTACAAGGTTTTCAAAGTTCGATTAAGCATATTAGCATATTACAATTTTATGATGAAAATCAAAATACTGATTTAATTATTTATTTAAAAGTCGATTTTAAATAATGACTGGTAATTTTGTACCTATATAAAATTCAAAATCTCTGAATATAGAAATAGGTATTAGGTATGAATTTTGTATTAAAAAATGGAATAATATGTAAAACAAGTAAAAACGTGCAAATTATTATATTTTTGGACCCTAATGATAATACATGATATAGATGAAATCGCATTATCTATGTTTAAGAAGGTAATATAATATGTTGTGTACATCAAAATTATTAGATATTAAACTGGTATAAAGGTTTTCTATGATTAAATCTATAGACTTATTTGGATTTGTTCGACGTAATTCCTCTACTTCTCTTTCAAATATGATTTTTCCATTTTTCAGGTACGCTATCTAAAATATATTCAACCATCTATAACGCCGTTGTTATAAAATTACTTAATTTTAGTCGTTTGTCATATATTATGAATTCGAACCTTAGTTGCTAAAAATGCTTCCTCAATATTATTGGTGGCTACAACTACTGTTGGTTTCCATGTAGTAATCATGTGACGTAAGTATTTCCAAATTCTGAAATGAGAAAAACGTTATATTAATATTTTTTCAAAAATAATAAAATATATTTAGTTTTTTACTGATTTTTTTTTAAAATGTCAAGTCCAACAGTAGGCTCGTCTAATACCACTAATCGAGGTCTGTGGAATACTGCTATTATAAATGATATCATTCGTTTTTCACTGAAACTATAAATACTTTACAATATAGTTAAATCATATCATATAGGTACTATAAAAACTGTTAATTTGATATTATTACATACCTTAATTTTTTAATAGTGGAATTAATTGGGGGTAGAGTAAAAATGTCTTTGTAATAGCTTATTCTCCACTGAATAAATTTATAATTAATATTATATAAGTTACCAAAATATGCAAACAATTCTAAAACTGTCATGGTTTTATACAAACAAAATTCCTAGAAAAAATCATAAATAACTTCTACATTTTATCAATGGATTCTTCAATAGTACCTATTGACAAAATTAATTTGAAAATACAATTGTATTATTTAACATAGGTACCTATAATATTGTGTATCTACCAAAATTATTATCTTCTTGGTGTGGTAAACTATAATAAGTAGATAATATTAAATATATATATATTTTTGTACCTGAGGCATATAACCAGTGTATTTAGTTAAGGTTTTACTACTTTTTGTTCTTGGTTTACCTCCAAGAACCCATATATGACCTTTGTCTACTTTATCTCCACCAACTAAACAAGAAAGCAGCATAGATTTACCGCTATTTATTTCACCAAGTAGAGMACATCTTTAAAAAACAATTAACAAAAAAATATCACAAATTTTATTTAATTCAATATTAATTGTCGATTTAGAAGTTTAAATAGGAAAACACTCAAATTAAGTTTCATAAAATTTCAAATGAAAAACATGAGAAAGATCAGAAAGAGCAATTACATTGTACCACTGTGTGCAATTAAATTCACTCCATTGAATATATTTCGATCATTATGTGTTTTAAACACATTATTTAGTACTATAGAACATTTCGAAGGGCTTTGAGATAAATATATTCTTGGTTTGAAACGATTTTCATATACCATTGTATAGTTTATTGTAATTTGTAGTCTTGTAGATCACCTGAAATAAAATATTTTACACTTCAAATAGGTAGTTATTATTATCTATAGGTATATCATAAATGATTTTCAGGTGCCAAGATTATTACAAACGATTTTCCATTCAAACCCAACACGGAAACAGAGAGTTGATGCGAACAATTTAACTGATCGAGACAACGGAATTAAGGCAATTTAATATCATGACTTAGGATTTATTAAATAATCAAATCAGAGATAACATTTTAGATCACTAGAGATTTTTTAGATTTTCTAAGATAATACTTATACATTTATAAACGCTCAAAAATTCAAAGTAAGTATCATAAACTTGAAAATATATGAAATAGTCCAAGTACATAAATAGGAACAGATATCCGCATCATAAATTTGGTCTTGGTACAGAACTAAATCGGGGCCCCGAACATTCTTCTAATTATATATATTGAAGTAATTTTGCAGTAATTATTTGCATGAAACGCCTGGCCTTTCGAAAGTCCAGGCCTCAGTACCATGGGTCCTTCTGCCCCCCCCCTCCCCCCTTGTGGAGGCCCTGAATAGAAGTGTATAGAGTATTTTGGTGTACGTACTTACACGGAAAAAAATCTGTAACATATGGAGTTATAAAATATAATAATTAATAATAAATACAAATTATAATATATATTGGCATACCTAAGTAAAAATGTTTTTTGTAAAACATTTCAGTGGGGTGTAAATTGAATTTTCTATTGTAATAATTATTTTCCTGATTGTGAATTATAGGTTATTATTGATTAAATGGTAAAAATAATATTTATATTTTGTTATTCTGTAAAAGTCTGCAAAAAAATGGAATGATACATGGTGCTTGTGAAGATACCTATTTAGAAACATAGATTTGCAAACTTAAATTATTAATTTATACATCGACTTTTGTAATGTTGAAAAAATATGTGTTGATATATTTATGAAATTAGTTATAATTATTTAATAAATAATTTACATTAAATCAATTGGCTTTGAATTATTATTAATTTAATTTAATTTATCGGAATCAATTACAGTACAAGAGGGATACTATTTAAAATAAGAGACAATTCAAGTGAATGTTTTTTTTTTTTTTTTAACATGAAAGTTCACCGCTAATAAATACGTATTTTTTTTTTTTTTTTAAATTGATTAGAAATTACAAATTCTATACCATTTTTATCATTATACAATAAGAATATATGCTAAGAGTATACAATTGATAAGAAAAAATTATTGTGATGGAAGGAGCCACCCAATTATGACACTTCCTATGGTTACTTGATTATTATTTTTTATAACAAATCATGACACTACTTGCGCTTTAGACATCTCAGGGGATTATCAGGAATTGTAGCACAGGCCTAATTTTTGATAAGAGGATTCRAATAAGTACTTAGGTAGTTGTGGAATATTTTATAGAAACATTTAGATTCATCACTTACTATTGTTAATTTCAGATCTGAATGTAGAGAATAATTTGAGACGTAGGAAGGCGTACCCGTGAGTTTCCTCAGAGCAATGTAATGAAATGCTTGAATTTTATTAATATTTGATTTTTTCGCATTAGACCAGTGGCGTAACTAAGAGGAATCAGAGGGTGCGGTTGCACCCGGGCCTKTTCGTATAGGGACCCAAAGAAATAAAACATTTTTACACTCCCCCGGATCTTCTTAATATAATATATACCTGGACGATGGGAGGCCCGTTGAAAATTTCGCTCCCGGGTCCAAATTTTGAAGT